TAGGAAAGGTTTGGGCGGGGCATAGGAAAGGTTTGGGCGGGGCATAGGAAAGGTTTGGGTGGGGCATAGGAAAGGTTTGGGCGGGGCATAGGAAAGGTTTGGGCGGGGCAGAAGATGTAAGCAAGCGCCCGAGAAAGAGGGAGGCTAAAGGAAAGTCTTGTTTTGCAAAGAGGTGTCAGTAGGCTCCCAGAGAGCCCAAGGCCTTCACAGAGGGTGAGAAAGAAGGGAGCACCATGTTGGCTCACGCAAACTCGCTTTACCTCAGGAAACAACACCTGTGGCCAAATGCAGTCAGTAGCCAGATGTGTGTCAGGTTCTACAGAAGAATCATCTAATGATCTGGATTCATCTTCCATACATTCTAGGTGAGGGATACTGAGGCTCAAAGAAGTCAAGTGTCTGGCCTAAGGTCACACAGCTGGGAAATCAGCCAAAGGGGTGTCTCATGGCTCCAAAGATCCTGCAGTCCACTAACAGAATCATGCATACTTTTCAAAGAGGGAAACTGAGGCACTCAGAGGTGAAGTCATCTAGTAAGCAGTGCTTATCGTTGAGGAGAATCTAGAGAGCCATCTGTTGGCCCTCAGGTGCACTTGGTCTCTGAATGAAGACTCTTATTGCCCCCTGGTTCTCTAGTATGTCACTTGTGCTCACCCCTTCCCAGCCTGGGTTTGGCTGCCTATGCTGGCACAGGAGTGGCTGAGGAAGGTAGACCAGGGTCGACCCTACGCGCCTGTCCCTGGACCGCAGAACCCGAAGGACAACCAGGAAAGGAGTAAGTTGGGTGCAGAGTGGGCACTGCTGAGCTTGGGAAGGAGAGAGTGGCAGATACCACTCAGCGCTGCTCAGTCAGCGGAACCGCCAGCTCGGATTCAGCTTCGAGTCCTTTGCAAGAGACACACGGGAAAGTCTGCCTTATGGAGGGAGGGGTCGGGGGTGGTGTCGAGAATGCTCTTTCTGTCCTAGGTGCGACAATATGAGGCATGGTCCAGGTGACCCGGCCGTTGGAGCATCAAACTTCCTGGCTTTTAAGGTGGTGGGAGAAGGTTCAGGCTCAAACTCCGGAGAACCCCAGTCCCTCTCCTCTCTCACACCAGACAAGAGCGCTCCCTAGTGTCTTTTCTTGAGTGGGCTGGTTCGCGACCCTTCAAAGAGAGGGCGCGGAGTTGGGGACCCTGTCATGGGCTTGCACCCCGGGAGAATACTAGTCTGAGACTCAGGCAGGCGGGAGACCTCGGATTCCTCGCGTTTCCCGGGGGTTCGCGGGTCCCGGTGACCCTCTCGGGGGTTGGGGGGATGCGGGATCAGGAAGCGCAGGAGTCTCGGGGAAACCGCTCAGTTCCTCGTGCGCTGAGGTTCCGCTCGGGACCGCGTCCCCCGCCGCCCAGCGCGTCCCCGGCCGCGTGCGTAAGCAGCCGGTACCCCCGTCTGCGGCCCTCCCAGCGCCCCGCGCCCCTTACTCGGCTTGGCTGCGGCGCTCCGCTCCGTGCGCCGCAGTGCCGGCTCCAGCTTCGGCTCCAGCTCCGGTCCCGCTCGGGCTCCGGCTCCCGCTCGGAAGCCGCGGCGCTCGGGCTGGGCTGGGGCGTCCCGCCGCTCCGCCTGGGCCTGCTGTGCGTGCAGGGGCGGGGCGCACCGGCGAGGCCGGGCACAACCGACCCGCGCCCTCGATCCCCGGGCGAACCGCCGCCGGCGGTCTCCGGGGCCCTGCCCTGCCCTGCCTTGCAGCAGCAGCAGCAGCCCCGCCCGGCCGCCCGTCGCCGTCCCCGCGCCGCCGCTCGCGCCACCGTCACCCTCTCGGGTCCTCCTCGGCGGCGGCGCGGCTCCCCCGGTCTCAGCTCAGCGGCGCCAGGACCCGGGTCATTGCTGAGATGGGGACGCGGAGGAGGTGGGAGCGGCGAGCCGCGCCCCTCTGCGCACAGCCAGCCCGACACCCACACAGCGGCGGGCGGGGCAGGGCGGCGGGAAGGCCGAGGGATGTAGGGAGGCCGGCGCACGGGGCAGACTTGTGAAGGGTGGACAGACAGACACGTGCAGTGAAGGGTGGACCAACCATATGTCAGGAATGGACAGCCAGAAAGGTTGGACAGAGGCAAGAGCTAAGGGCGGAAGGCGGTGTGGGGACAGCAGAAGGGACACAGGCTGCTGGCCTTTGGGATGGGCAGAGGAGCCTGGCAAGGCCGCTGGTTCCCAGCTGTTAGAATTCTCTTCACATAGGCTTGACCAAGGCCTCCAACTGAGCTCTCAGCAGCCTATTTTCTTCTCCCCTTGCCCACCTGATGCCCTCTATCCTGGTGCTCAGTCTTGGCAGATGCAAGCCTGCCTTAGGAGACACCTGGCTCCGGGGAGGGACCTGGGTCCAGCTCCTGCCCTGCATGCACCCCACTTTGTGGCCTCTGACATGCCGCAGCTCACCCCCAGGCCTATTACTATTTTTCATCATTACCACAAAGGTCCCTGCCTATTGCACACTTAAATATGCTGGTGCGCTCTACAGTTACTGGCAGACTCATTTGGAACATTTATTCATCTGGGAGAGTCCCACAAGGGCTGCTCCATCCTGGTGAGACTGCAGGGGTCTGCCCAGGCTGACACTTGGTAAATCTGACCAGGGAATCCATAAATTGAGTTGTTGCCAACCCTCTCCAAACCCTTATTTTATTGATGAGGGAGCTGAGGTTTGAAGGAGGAAGGACATCCGAAACCCTGACGCCTGCCACTGGCTAAAAGGCAGTTCTCGAAAATAAAACATGATGACAAAGAGCTCAACATGTTGATGATAAAACCTTGGGGAAGCAGAGGAGCCCTGGGGACCTTGTGGAAGAGAAGTGAGCCAGCTGCAGGCACCAACTGGGAGGTGGGGACAAAGCAGCCTCCCGGAGAAAACAGATGGCTTTGTACCTCAGCCTTGCAAGGCACCACGGCTCCTCCCAACCTCGGTGGATAACTGTTCATTTGGGACTCTGCATCCTTGACTGGCTCCTTTCTGAACACCTAGAGGGGTTCATCTCAGCCCACTGGGGGCTGTCATGGGAGGATTGAGCCGTGTGAACAATGGGGCCACAATGAAGGACCCTAAGAAAAGGCTTGGGTGGGATCTTTGTCCAAACCGAGACATTTCATTTATTTTGTGGGTGAACAAATAAAAGACCAGGAAAAGACAAGATAGGACCAAACCAGGGAGCGAGGACTGGAGGCTGACTACTAGGCCACAGCTCTGCCTGCTACACCAAGACTGGCCAGGACTCAATGAACAGACAGCAGTTGATCCAGATGGATATTTTAGCTGTTGAGTGGTCCCTCTTTGGTAAGCTGGAGTGTGTATATGTTTTAGGGGCATGGGCTGTAGGTGGCTTATTTTGAGTGGGAAGACACAGTCTTAAAGAGCTCATTGCTTTACACTTCCACCCTGTTTTCTGAGTATCTCTGGTCTGAGAAACCTGTGCCTCGGAACCAGAAGCCGTGTGATGGTTTGTGTATGCTTGGCCCAGGGAGTGGCACTATTAGGAGGTGTGGCCTTGTTGGAGTAGGTGTGTATGCTGTGGGCGTGGGTTTAAGACTCTCATCCTAGCTGCCTGGAAATCAGTCTTCCACTAGCAGCCTTCAGATGAAGACGTAGAACTCTCACCTCTGCCTGCATCATGCCTGCCTGGATACTAACATGTTCCCACCTTGATGATAATGGACTGAATCTCAGAACCTGTAAGCCAGCCCCAATTAAATGTTGCTCTTATGAGAGTTATCTTGATCATGGTGCCTGTTCACAGCAGTAAACCCTAACTAAGACAAGCTGTTTCAAGTGGATTCGGCGAGGCTGGGACTTCCTTAAACGAGTTGGATTGTGACTGCTTGCCCGCTGTCTCTGAATCTCTACCCATTCACAGATGCAGACGAGAGTAGGATTTGAGGGGAACATTAGAGAAAGAAGGTAAAACCACCCACTCTAATACTGTATTTCCTTTTTCCTTAAAAAAAATGTTGTATGACTGCATACATCCTTAAATAGAACGAGCTTGCTGAGCGTGGCCTCTCTCCTCACCTGTGTCACAGTGTGAACAGCTGCCCAGTACTGTCATTCGGGATTTTACTTAAATCTTTCTCTACTGGTGGATATCTAGCTTGTTTCCCTTCTCTACCTGTAGACAACACCTCAGTAGACACCCCAATGGGTAAGTTTGTATATGTCTATGAGCATCTTTTAAGCCAGCTGGTAAGTCAGTGTGCTTCGTGGACATCAGGGATGCATAGTGATGGCTGGCATCTGCTCCGTCAAGAATGAGGCAGGGAGGCTGCAGAGGGAAGCCCTTTAGGGAATCATGGGGTCATGATAAGGTTTCAACATCTGCTCAGAGTTGTCCATGTGTTAGAATTGCTGATGCAAGAGGATTGAAAGGTGGGTAACTTGAAGAGCTACCTGAGTTGTTATGGAGGGAGTTGGGCCACTAGAGTGGCATCCTTAGAAGCCCCCCTCCCTTACTCTCTTTACCTGTGGGATACTTGGAAACATACTATGAAGCAACACAAGGTCTCACCTCCACCCCACCCCCCAGATCCAAGCTCCCGAAGTGTGGCCCTTGATCTTAGACTTCAGAGCCTTCAGAGACACAAGCCAAATGCATTTCTGTGCACTATAAATTACCAGTCTGTTGTATAACATTGTACAATGGACCATGGGGACTTCTCATGACAGTTCACTGAGAGCCTCTAAAGGCTGACTGTCGAGACTTAACCCTAGAGTCACACAGCATACTTCATGCTACCCTAGTCACTGACCGGGAATTACCATCTCCCCCAAAGCAATTTCAATTTGTAAAGAGCAGGTTCCTTAAGTCAGCTGGCACACTTTTATAGAAGTGTGGTGCAATGCTTTTCTGGTCTTGAGCTATATCATAAAGGACCCGAATCGCTACATGGCCTTGACCTTAAGGGTGTGGGAGGAAAACCTCTTCTGTTAATTTAATGAAGAATTTTCTTCTTTCTACATAAATTATGTTGCCAGTGCCTCGGAGCTTGTTCTGGTGGCACTAGATGTTGAAGAAACAAGGGACCTTGGTTCATGACTGGTGGGAGGTGGTGGAGAGAGGGTCTTTCCTAAAGTCACTAGCACAGAGGTGACAGCTTACAGAAAATGCGGAAACTCATGCAACAGAGAAATATCCATACTTCTTGGAGATAGCTCTGATGTGCTGAGACCTCAGCACTTTTGTGTACGGGATGCCCCTCCACACCTCCCCCTCACAGATCTAGAGATCAAGGCCCTTGACATTTAGTGATTCTCTAGTGATGTCTCTTGGTAGGCATCACCAAGAAAGAGTAAGAGTTGTTTGTTTGTTTGTTTTAATTAAAAAATGCCAGGTGTCATCTAAATTGAATATTGTCGTTTGTCTCTCTAGGGCTTTGCTCCTGCCATGGCTTCTGAGCTATTGTAGGTAAACTACAAGTTCTGGAAAATGGGAAGTGATGTAAATTTTCATGTCCTTTGAGTTGTCTGTGAAGTCTACGGGAGCTGGGCTACAGCTGTCCGTAAATACGCATTCTTTGGAGTCTCCATTAAAATAGGGCATAACATCCTTTAAAAATAAAAAATAGTGTAATCCAAAACAATTACCTTGCTTAGGACGTTTTCATACATGTCTTTGTACTCTGCTTATATCTGCCCACATCACCTTCCCTGTCTCCTCTCCCCTCCTACTGACCCCAGATAGTCCTCCTCTCTTCCTACTCCCTTTCGTTGAAGAGAAATGATTTTATCTTTAGAAATTTTACTTATATGTATGTATTTGTGTATGCCACCTGGCTGCAGGTACCCTAGGAGGCCAGATGAGGGCATTTGAGTCCCTGAACCTGGAAACACAAGCAGTTGTGAACTGCTACGTGGATCCTGGGAACCAAATGGGTTCTCTGGAAGAGCAGCAAACACACTTAACCCCTGAGCTGTCCTTCCTTCCTCCTTTCCTCCCTCCCTCCCTCCCTCCCTCCCTACCTCCCTCCCTCCCTCCCTCCCTTCCTTCCTTCCTTCCTTTCTTCAAAACTTTATATTTGAATGCTCTGTATGTATGTCTGTAGGCCAGAAGAGGGCATCAGATCCCATTACAGATGATTGTGAGCCACCATGTGCTTGCTGGGAATTGAACTCAGGATCTCTGGAAGAGCAGTCAGTGCTCTTAACCACTGAGCCATCTCTCGAGCCCCTTTTCTTTTTGATAATATTTCATGTAGCCTATTCTATCCTAGAACTTGCTATGTATTCAAGGATGACCTTGGACTTCTTTGTAAAATTATTTTTTAAAAATTTTACGCATGTGCATGTTTTGCCTGAATTTATGTCTGCATATGTAGGCATCAATCCTCTAGGACTGAAGTTACAGATGGTTATGAGCCTTCCTGTGGGTTCTGGGGATCAAACCCAGGTCCTCTGGAAGAGCAGCCAGTGCTCTTAACTGCTGAGCCATCTCTCCAGCCCCTGACCTTGAACTCTAGATTCTCCTACACCCACCTTCCAAGTGCTGGGGTTACAGGTTT